GATACACATGGAATACCTTCTTCAAAGAATCATAAAGAAAAAGTTTTCTTGTTAAGATGACCAGCAATGAGCTATTCATGTTAATAAAGCTAACCACAAGAAGATCAGTCTTATATAAGCAAGTAAAATGTCTCACATGTGGATAGCAAAAAGAAACAATAGAACACTTGCTAGAATGTCCAGTATATAAAACTCGGTGGCAAGAAACCTGGCAAAAAAGTTTAGAATATATGATGCAAGGTTTCAACAAACTCCTAGCAGATAAGAAAAAGGAGTTAGAAGAAAAAGAGATAAGTTTGACAATTGATAATAGAATAGAAAGAAGAGAAATGGATAAGAAAATAGCTCAACTGGCGGAAAGAATCTCAAATACTGGTTGGGATATACTTAGCTTCTGCATGTGACTGATTGAAAAAGACCTAATGGATGAGATAATAGACTCGAAGTGTCATGAAAAAGAATTGGTAAAGAAACAAGAAAGTGGATAATAAAGATGCAAAAGAAAACATGTAACCACTTCAGAAAGAAAATTTGAAATATCAGATGCAAAAAGGTGATAGAGTGGAAATGGATATTGGAAATCAACTGAAGTAATAAAATCAAAAGACTGATATATCTACAGAGACAAAGAAATAGAACCAAGGTACCAGGAAATCAATCATATTAAGTATCATTAAAGAAAGAAGAATTAGAAAATATAATGTTCAAACAGGTCTTGCGAGATGAGATAAAGTATAGGATGAAATAATTGGATTTTAATCTCTATCAGAACTCAAAAGAGTAATCTGCAGTAGTGATTTGCAGGCAATGATATTATAAGTTGGAAGGATATTTATCTGAACTCTTAATAGAGCAATAAATTACTTCTGAAGTGCACTTAGAAAGGTAAAACAATCAAGATGAGTGAGTTAGTTAAAGAATTAGCTTTAGTATCTCATATTATATGTACAGCTTACAAATGTTTAATAAAACATATGTAATTAATCTGATAAAGGGCAAAAAAAAAAAAAAAATAAATAAATATTAAAAAATAAATTTAATTAAATATTTATTAAATATTAATTTGAATAATAATTTGATTCAGTTTAAATAAAAATTAATATGATTAATTTAGAATACTATATATTAAATAAAAATTTATTTATTTAGATATAAATTGGTTTTTTTTAGAATTTTATAGTTACTACTTATTGAATTATTATTTTACTTTTATTCAGATATACATTATTATACTATTTCAATTTTTAAAGATTATATTTATTTTATTAATGATTATAAAAATATTAAAAATAAAGTTTTCTTTAATTAAAATATAATCTAGTAATTTAATATTAACAAATTATTAAACTTTCAATATTTTAATTATGCTTTTTTAATTATATTACTTTTATTACTTTTATTTTATTTTATTTTTTTTTTAAATCCATAGTTAAGTTAGCATAGTGTATTTATTAATCATAAATAACAAAATCATATGTGATATATTGGACAAATATATCTTGACTAAACTAAATCTCATGCTGACTCACTTGTCACTTTCAATTCTCAAATAAGTTTTAAGTCTCTAAGTGTAATCTTGAGAACAATATTTCGCTCTGAAATAGGTTTTGAGTGAAGACCCTCCTAACTTTTCCATCATTACCAACAGGTTGCCACTGCTGATTATTTTTAATAAACTGATTTTTAGAAACTATAATAGGGGAAGGAAAGGGAATATTTAAAAATGTACAAATGTGCTTATATAAAAAGAAAAGAAGAAAAAAGAAAAATAAAAATGCTTCATGTCCTCTAAAGGACCTCTATTAAAAAACCTTCTTTCATTAGGAAACAATTCTTCTGGAATATTTTTCTTCTTTCTGATTATCTGAGAAACTTATCTATTCATAATCTTTATTATTTTCTTGTAATCATTTGAGATACTTATTGCTTACTTGAATCTAGCTTCTTGTTTATTGCTTTCTTTCTTTTGATATTGATTTTTATCTACCCATATCAAGCAATGACTTAAAATGGATCCCAGGTTTTTATATAACCTTTCAATCATATTGTGTAATTACTGATATCTTCTAGCAGTCATACCTAGTTAAAGGAATTTTACTGGTACATATCTTTTATTGCCCAAAATAATTATTCTCCAAAGATCTTTTGACTTCACAATAATGGGAGGGTATCAGAAAAGCAATGGAGATCCTCGTTAATTACAATATCATTATACAATATCTGAAAAAATGTATTTTCAATCCTAAAGAAGAATGGTGGCTTACAGTCTTCTACTTTTTGGTCTTATTGCCTGATCAAAATAAGAAAATAATCTTCTTTATATACTTAACCTAATCAGGATAATAGGAAGTTGAAGACCTTAGCTTGAACAAATAACCATCTTTTTATTACTTAAGTAATTTAGTATCTATTCTAATGATCTTATAATCTTTTTGCTTCAGTTATATTTCATTTGGAGGAGTGGAGAATTTTACACTAATTGATTCTCTTTTGTTCATCAATAATGTTATTGAGACATATAAGTATAGCCAAGAAACCTTGTTTATATCTTGTTATCAATATATTTCGTATCAGTCAATTAGAAGCCAGATAGGGTTATGTTATCAAAAATTCAGATCAGGCTGGAGTAGGCAAAATTCTTCCTAAAAACTATAAAAAAACTGTAAACACTCTAAAAGAACAAGAAACAGTAGAAAAGGTAAATAATAAACCTTCTCCTATCTAGAAAATCTCTATTATCATATTATATTCAGTTTTGAAATGTGATCCTCTACAAGTTGATCCTTTTATTTCCTATAACCTTCTTGCCTTTAGTAAAGGAAATATGTACTTAAGTCTATTTAGGTTACCAGAGGCTCAAGTTTTTATTCAAAAGAATTAGTAAACAAGTAGAAAAAGGTAATAGTGATTCTTGAAGATAAGCTTCAAGTTGTTTTAAGGAAAGTAGGAAGACTTTATTAGTCAAGAAGAATAAAACTTCTTGTGAACATCTTTTTTGTGTGTGGTTAGAGGATCAGTGGAAAAAGTTTTTTATTACTTTTATTACCTTTATAAGTTTATAATTATTTAAATATTAATAATTAAAATTTTTTTTAAAAAACTATATATTTTTTAATTTATAGATTTTTAAACAATATATAGTATAATACTATTAAATATTATAGTATATAAAATAGATTTATTTTTAAAATTTGTTATATAATTTTTAGAATATTTTAATATTTTATATTTTAAATTTTATTTATTAATTATTTTTTTTTGGAAATTTTCTTATTATATTTATTTTTTTAAGCATTTTTTTATTATCTAGATAATAGACTTTTTATTATTTATTCAAATTTTTAAAAATTATATTTATTATAATTTATCTAATTCTTTGACTAATTTTTACTCAATTTTTATATAAACTATTTTCAAATTTTAATTTAAATTGTTAATTATAATTAATATTAATTTTTGACTATCTATTTAAAAATTATTAATTTTATAAATTTTTTTTATAATTCTTAAAATATTTTTTATCTTTATTTGAATTTGTAATTAAAGTAATATTATCTATAAATAATTATTATAAATATAATTTTCAACTTTCTGTTTTAGTAATATTTTAAATTTATATATTATATTTATTTTATAATTTTTAATATTATTATTTTAAATTTAATATAATAGTGATTATAAAATATTTTTATATTAAGGTGAAATAGTTTTTTTTTTTTTTAATTTTATTATTTTTGACTTTACAATATTTGAATAATTATTTTTATATCTAATTTTAAATTTTTTATTATAAAAAATTTATAACTATATGTATAAATTTCAAAATTTTTTTATTACATTAACTAATATTTAAGATTTATTGTTGATAAAAATATTGATAATATATTATAAATTACTTTTAATGATATTATAGATTTTATAATTTATAATTTTTTATAGTTTTGATTTGACTTTATTTGAATATAGCTTCTTGACTTTTTTATTTTTTATTATTTTATAGTAAATTTGAAATTTGTTTGTGAATTTATTGTTAAATAAAACTTACATTATTTTATTATTTCTTTTTTATAATCAGTAAAAATAGATCTTTATACTACTATTTATTAATATAGTTTTTTAATTAATATTTTTTTATCAGTTCTAAATTAAGATATCTTTTATATCTTGATTATTTTTTGTGATATCTTTAAAGTTTTTTATTTATCATATTTTTGTGTTATTATATATTCTTATTTTTTTTTTTTTTTTTTGTAATCTTAATTTTATCTAGAATAATTTTGATTTTAATTTTATTAATTAAAAAATATATCATTGTTTTTCGATTAATTAAGAGATCTTTATATTTTTATTTTAATATTTTTTGATTATTTATTGGTTTTTTTGATTTCTTTATTGTTATTTGTAATTCTAAAACAATTTTATAACCTTTTTTGTTTCTTGTATTAGCTTATTTCAAGAAATATTTGTTATAGTTCTATTGTAACTCAAGTTATCTATCTTTCTTGAAATGGTTGTTTTTTTGATTAAATTACTTATAGTTGATAATTTAATAAAGTTTATATATTCCTTATTTTTTTTTAAAAAAAATATTTTAATGTATTTATCGATGTTTTTTGAACCTTCAGTTTATCATATGCTATTCATTTTATCTGTAAAAAATTTTTAATTTAAATTTTATCAATAGTAAGCAACAAGTTGAAAAAAGAAAAATAAAAGAAAAAAAGAAATTGAGATCGCTTCTTTTCTCTTCGAAATACAGTATAACGCTAACAAATAATTAATTTATTATGATTGTACAATAACACGTGTGTTGCGTAATTTTTTAAGCAATTATTATTTTATAATATGCATTTCCCATGGGTACGTAATTTTTTCAATAATGCATCTTCCAAAAATGGGAAGATGATCTCGTACTTGTCTAAATTTTTCCTTGTATTTAAAAGAGTGATGTTGACCGTAAAAAATGGAGGGATAAAATAGATGAAGCGGAACAATATCATTCAATGATTTTCAGTATTGTGCAATTTTTCTTGTAATTCCCGTGCAGTCGTCTCCAACTCACCAAGTTCAAACATATTTCTTTCGAACAATTCCAATTTCATCTTAGTTTCTTGAATTTTTTTTTTCAAAACTTCATTTTCCTCCTCAATTCTTTCCACCCTACTCTCCAGCTTCGTGATGTATTCTTTTCGACGTTCCCGGCATTCTTTGGCTGCTAAGCGATTGCGTTCCAATCTAAGAGCCTGCTTTTCCTTTTGCATTCGATTCTTTTCTGGGAGTAGAGTGCCATTGATTTGACGCCTGCTTTGAAAAATTTGCTGTGGAGATGGCACATGTCGAGGTAACAATAATGGTGAATGATCAGGATTAAAGAGTTCAGATTGATGAGGTTGAGGAGCTCGATAGTGTGAACACGAAAGTTGAGATGATTGAGAGGTCGAGGACGAACTCGGTAGTTGTAAATCGAAAGTCGATGGCTGGATGTTTGGGACTGGAAGTGATTGTGGATGAATTTGGGAAGGTATCTGTTGCGATGGATGCGGACAAATATGCTGATGTTTCGTTGATTGAATAGTCGGCGTGGAAGGACAATTAATCGCAGGTAATGTTGCATTAAATCTCAAAGGAGTCGATTGAATATCATTATTTGTTGTTTGATGATGATGGCTGACGGGAGGTGGCAAAATATAGTTGGTGAATTGCTGTCCGTTTGACACTTTAACTACTGATGGATTAAATGGAGCATTGTAGAATGTGATTGAATTCACCATGTTTGGTGATGTTGTTCTTTCGTCCGCAGTGCCACCCGAACTATTCATCAGAGTTTTAAAGTCGGATTCATGTTTTCTGAATTGCGAAAGATTATTCATCTTGAGATTAAGTAAGTCCCCTTTTATACCAGCAGCGTTTGGTTTCTTGATGGTTTGTAGTCTGCGAAGAAAATGCCTATTGTCTTTATAAGTCGACAATGCATGAAGCGTTCAGACAGAATATCAGGTATATATTTGAGGAACTACAAGTATCCCTCCCTCAACCATATACGTAAGATGACAGTTTTATAGGTGATGTCACCATTCGTCCTCATTTATGCGATACGGTGAAGATTTCAGTTGTCCATTAGTTTATTGTAAATAAGTTTCGTCAATAATTATTATTATTATAGTCATGAAAACAGGATAAATTGAAAATTGATGTCATTATAGTATCTGAATGTCAGATGATTTGAACAAGGATTATTGTTATCATCTCATTTTAGGATGCAATCCATTGTTTGTTATCCACCGAATATGGGTAATTATTTTCGAAGGCGGACAGGGATTTTTCGGACCTTAGAATTGTGATCCTAAAATTTGCATTATATA